AAGAGTGGCTTTTTGAGCCCTAGGCCACACTTGGCTTTAATCAACTCTGGATTTGCAAAGGATTTTCCCAATCTCCTGGCAGCTGTGTCCCTGGCCACTGTCAAGATTGCTTCTCTTTCCACTCGTGCCCAGCATAGCCAACTCCAACAGAATATTGACAATCACCCTCCCCTCCAGGCAGGTGTCTGAAGTCTGAAGTCAAGGGCTCTGCTCTGTCTTGTCCACCGGAAGCCATCTGTCCTGTTCGTGGGAGCATTTAAAACCGACTCCAGAGACGCAGGCTTAGGCAAAGGGGACGATTGCGAGAGTGTGAAGTAGGTTTAAGTACAGGAATGTGGCAAGCCAGGGGAGGTGGCCTTCTGCTTTGGCAAGCCCCAGATGGGGGAGAGGGCCAACAAGTACCTGAGAAGTCAGGTGAGGACTGAGCCACGGGAGGGAGTTGAGGTGGCAGGTAGGCCCTGCAGGCAGACCTGGGAACTCTGCTCCACTCGGATGACCTCAGAGCTCCAGCCAAGCCCCTCCCCGTGGCCTGATGCAGCACATCACAAGCCTCCTGCTGAAAGGTGACACCCTGTAGGCCAGTTCCCTTAGTCACCCTGTGGGCGCTTGTGAGACTCACATGAGAATGGAACTGGTGGTCATGTCCCCAGTGTCGGTAAGTGACCCGAAAGGATCTGGAGCCAAACTGGGGGGATTGGGGGGTGGGGAGCACAAGTGCAGGTGGGAATTGCAGGACGATGCATGCTGTCTGTCCCTCCATGACCTCTCCAAGAAGGGGTGGGCGTCATGGGGGAGCCAAACACAAGCACGACTCCCACCTGCTGCACTGCAGTTCATTGGCTGCTGGCCAGTGCTTGCCAGAGCCCAGCAGCTTCTGCACTGGTCAGAGGCCCTGATTGCTCTGGCACCAGGCAACTGTTGCTTGGGTTCGAATTGCAAGAAATAAGAATAGGCCTGGGGGGCTGGACAGATGGCTCAGCGTTAAGAGCACTAACTGCTCTTGCAGTGGACCCGGGTTCCATTCCCAGCATCCACATGGTGGCTATGAACCAGAAATCCTCTTCTGACCTCTGGGGCATTGCATGACACGGGTGCACTTACTTACATACACTCGTATACATAAAATAAAAATAATAAATAAAATATTTAAAAAAATAAGCCTAGGGGTGTGGCTTGGTAGTAGAGCATTTGCCTAGTGTGGTCAAGGCTCTAGGTTTGATTGCTAGGCACTGGAAAAAAAAGCAAATAAAAATATCTTTGGCTGGCATCGAGTTTGGGGGTCAGGAGGAGGGAAGAGCAACTCCTTGTGTGACAGAGATTTACTGGGCGGACTCCTGTGGTCTTTGCTGCTTGTGAACTCCGACACCGAAACAGTGCTCCTTCTACACCACCCAAGCCGTGGCCTTACTCCCAGGTCTGCTGCCTCTTAAAGGCATAACCAGATGTCTGCTGGATTTCAAGATGTGCTCTCAGCCCTCCTTATGACACACTGGACCATATGGCATTTATTTGTATCCATTTTTCAGTGTTGGGGAGTGGGAAAGGTGTGGGTGTTGGGCCAGGATTTGAGTGGGGAAAAAGTGACCGAGTTTCTGTGAGCCACAGTTTACCAAATTGTCAAGTGGAAGTCAGATAATGACAGTCTGGGATTAGAGGGTGCTGCTGGTGAAGTCTGAAGGCATCCAGCAGGCTTGTGTGAGTGACATGCTCGAATGCAGAGGCATCATTCAAAGAGCAATTTTGTGGCAGGTAAATGGGGCAAGGAGTGGTGTCCCCATTTTATAGAGGAGGAAACAGGCCCAGAGGGTTTCCTTGGTAGCTTTCTCAAAGTTTCCTGTTCATACTAACTTGGAAAATCTCTCATGGTGACCTCTAAGTCACATGCCATGAATCCAAAAAGAAAAGGAAAAAAACCCAAGGTTCCTTAAATTGGTAACCCTGGCAAGGCTTGTAATTAGAGCCACTGGTCCCCATCAGAATAGCAGTAAGTCTCAGAGGATTTACAGAATGAGAGGCCGTGAGAATGGATGGTCACTTTGTTCATTAAGAATTTCCTGTTTGGGGGCCGGGCATGGTGGCACATCATAGGAGGAACATGTGATAGAGCAAACCACCCACCTCTTGAGCCAGGGAAGAGGCAAGAGAGAGTGCTGGCTTTTGAGGGCACACTGCAGTGACCTAAAGACCTCCCACTAGGCCCTCCTAAAGGCTCCACAGACTCTAGGGGCACCGCACTGGGACCAACCACACCTTTAACGTGGGGACCTGAGGAGCACTCACTGAAACCATAGTATGCATGTCTTCTTGTTTTCTCTCTCTCTCTCTCTCTCTCTCTCTCTCTCTCAATTATGACCATCCTCCTGGATATGTCATTATGGTTTTCAAGAATTTTTTATAAGAAATACATTATTTTTTAATATTTTATTTATTTTTTTTTAAGATTTTTTTAGTGTATCTGTGTGTGGGTATGTGCACATGAGTGTAGGTGCCTGTGGAGACCAAAGATATCAAATTCTCTGAGCTGGAGTTACAGGTAGTTGTAAGTGACTTGGGTCCTCTGAAGAGCAGTAAATGTCCTTAAATACTAAGCCATCTCTCCAGCCCAGTCATTGTGGTCTTGGTTTGCATTGCCCTAATGACTAAGGATACCTAGTCACATGCTTATTGGCTTTTTGTATATCTCCTTTAAGAAATGGTTGTTGTTGTTTTGTTGTCTCACTATGTACCCCTGGCTTGCCTGGGACTCCCTATGTAGACCAGGCTGACCATGAACTCACAGGAATCTGCCTGCCTCTACTTCCTGACTGCTGTGTACCACCATGCTCAGTTGCAGTGTCTTTTACTGTTGAATTGTAGGAGCTCTTTATATATTTTGGACACTTGCCCTCATCAGATACAGAGTTTTCAAATATTTCTCCTATTCTATAGATGATTTTTCCAATTTCCCAATGGTGTACTATGATTTGCAAGATTTGGAGGCATGTTTGGTTTTATCTTTTAGTTTTTTTTAGCAGGATCTTATGAATAATTGAGACTGACCTCAAAATTCGCAGTCTTGAAAGTTGGGGAGATGGCTCAGCAAGTAAAGCATTTTCCAAGCAAGATAAGGACTAGAGTTTGGATCCTTGGCACCACATGAAAAAGCATGGCATTCCGCCTGTTAGTCCAGCAAGTGATCCCTGGAACAAGCTGGCTGGCATGACTAACCAAATTGGCAAGCACTGTGTTCAAGTGAGACTCTGCCTCAATATATAAGGTGGAGAGCGAGTGATCAAAGAAGATACTCAACGTCCATTGTAGGCTTCCACATGCATATGCTCACATGTGTACCTACACCCCTACACATGTGTATACTCAACCACAAGCAAACATATATACTATGGACACATACACAGAAATAAAAATTTAAAAAATCATTCTTGTCTTCAGCTTCTCCAGGGCTGATGTTACATGCCGGCACACACCATCTACGCCTGGCTATTTTTTTTTTCCCACAAAAGGTTTTAATGTTTTAAATTGCATGTATGTGTGTGTGTGTGTGTGTGTGTGTGTGTGTGTGTGTGTATGCGCATGCACAAAGGTCAGAGGACAACTCTCAGGAGTCAGTTTTTTCCTTCCGCTGTGGGTTCCAGGGATTGAACTCAAGTCTTCAGGCTTGACAGCAAACATCTTTACCCACTGATCTGTTTTGCCAACTCAAAAGCTTTTCATTTTGATTAAGTCAAATTTATCTACTTTTAATGTTGCTTATACTTTTTGCATCGTTGGGCTGGAGACATGGCTAGCAATTGAGAGTAGTTGTTGCTCTTCCAGAGGACCTGAGTTTGAGTCCTAGCACCCACTTTGGGTGGTTCACAACCTCCTATAACTCCAGTTTCAAATCTGACACTTTTCTGGCCTCTGAGGGCATCTGCGCGCGCGCGCGCGCACACACACACACACACGCACACACACAAATAAAATAAAATTTAAGTCCGGTGTCAAAGGTCATGAAGGTTTATGCCTATGCTTTCTCCTAGAGTTTCCTGGCTTTCCAGAGATTTCATAGATTAATGCTTTGACCCATTTTGAGTCTTCCACTGGTCTATCTTCATGTCCGTTCCGCAGTTTACTGGAGCTGTCTAGTAAACTTTTTGATGTTTGTTTGGTACTGGGGCTCAAACCTAGGGACTCATGGATGCTATATAATAAACACTCTACTACTGAGCTATAATTCCAGTCCTGTCATACATTTTGAAATTGGGAGGTGTTCTGTGTTGGAGAAAGGAACTTTTTTTTGAAGACAGGGTCTCATATAGCCCAAGCTGCAATAAAACTCTCTAAGTGGCCAAGGATGACCTTGAACTTCTGATCCTCCTACCTCCAGCTCTCACTTGCTAAGTTCACAGTCCTGTACCATCACACTGAGTTTTATACAGTGCTGGGGCTCAAACTCAGGGCCTTGTGCATGCTGGACAGACACTCTACCACCTGAGCTACATCTGCTGCCCCTCTTCCTTCTTTTTAATAACTATTTTGTCTGTTGGGGGCCCTTGCAATTTCTTAGGACTCTATATATCAGTTTGGGTGGTTTGGCTACCTAGCAATATTGGGCCTTCCAATCCATGAACATGGTACACCTTTCTATTTACTTAGATCTTGAACTTATGTCAGCAATGTTTTGTAGTTTTAAGTGTACAGATCTTTCATCTCCTTGGCTAAGTTAGACCCGTGTAATTGTTTTTTAATGCTATTATAAATTGAATTATTTTCTTAATTTCTTTTTCAGCTTGCTGGTGTATAGAAACATAACTAATTACTGCATAATGACCTCAGATTTTACAAATTGGCTTATTACCTCTGGTAGTTCTCTCCCCTGCCCTCGCCTCCTTTGTCATTGAGATTTTCTGTGTATGGAGTCACACCTTCCACAGATAGCCATGATTTTCCTTTCCTGTTTGGATGCCTTGTTTCTTTCCATGATCTGATTGTTCTGGCTAGAACTCTGGACAGCTAAGGAGCAGTGGTGAAGGTCCAGCTCCTGGCCTTGTTCCTGCTCTTAGAAGGGAGCCTTTATCTTTGCCATCCAGGATGATGTTGGCTGTCACTGTCAGGGGGCCTCACTGTTCTTTTGAGGTTCCCTTCTGTTCCTCGTTCCCTGAATGCTTTTATCATGAAAAGGTGTTGGATTTTCTCAAATGCTCCTATTATGTCTATTGAGAGGACTGTGTGGTTTCTCTCTTATGCCGTGGGCCTGATGTGACGCTTTAATGTTGATTTACCTTTGATTAGCTTCTCTTTAAAAAAGAAACTTGATGATCTTAAAAGAAAATAAAACCCAATTATCTGCATTACCTAGAAAAATACACTTGCCAATGGTCTGGCAGTTCTGTTGCCAAGAGTTCAAGAAGTACTTTGTTCCTGTGTTTCCAGGAAATCTCGAGAATGTTTTCCACCCACCTTCAGAACATTGTGTTGAAATCACTCATGAAGATGGCATGTAGACACTAAACTGGTGTGCTTGGACCTCGTGTCCTGATTTTGTAATGCTTCCAATATATAATTGTGGCAAAATTGATTCATTTATTTATTCTTCGCAATGCTAGGGATGTAACCCAAGGCCTCACATATGCTAGGCAAGCACCCTACTACCTAGCTAAGACAAAATTGGTTCAGAAGTTGTTGAAATATGTTCAGATCCCTCTTCCTTTCTTTTTTTATATTTTATTTATTAGTCTTATTTTATGTGTATGAGTGTATTGCCTGCATGTACGTAAGTGCACCCATGTCATGCAATGCCACGGAGGTCAGAGGAAGGCTTCAGAATCCCCTGGAACTGGAGTTAAGGATGGTTTGTAGCCACCATGTGGGTGCTGGGAATCGATCCTGGGTCCTCTGCAAGAGCAGTCAGTGCTCTTAACCACTGAGCCATCTCTCCAGCCCCTTATTTATTATTTTTATTTTTTTATGTGTATGAGTGCAATGCTTGCGTGTGTGTAAGTGTACCTGTGTCGGGCAACATCAGCAGAGTCAGAAGAGGGTATTGGATTCCCCTGGAACTGGAGTTATGGATGGTTGAAAAATAATAAGTTAAACAAATATTTTTAAAAAAGAATAAGAAAATAGGTACGGATGTAGCAATCTCATTAAGCTTCCCTCCCCTCCTCTTCCCTTCCTATCTTTTCCCTTATCTCTCCCTCCCTCCCTCTCTCCCCCCTTCCCTCCCTCCTTCCCTCCTTCCCTCCTTCCCTCCTTCCCTCCCTCCCTTCCTTTCTCTCTATGTGTGCCATAGCATACACATGGAGGTCAGAGGACAACTTTTTTGGGGGAGGTGGCTCTCTCCACCCACCTTGGGTTTTTTGAGGCAGTGTCTTGTTCCTGCCTATGTGCTGCTCTGTCCCCCATCTCACTGTAGGAGCCCTGGAAGTCCAGCTGTGAGCCACCACATAGGTTCTTTTACGTGGTTTCTGAAGTCCGAGCTCAGGTTGTCAGGCTTACACGGTTGGCACTTCAGCTCCTGAGCCATCTCCCCAGCCCCACATCCCACAGTTTTTATGGATATTTCCTTCAGGTAGTAATCACTGTTCATCTGTAGGGCAGAGTTAGTGTGACAGGAAGAGACATGAGTTAGAAATGATAGTATCTGAATTCACTTATTCCACACCCACCACACACTTGCTAAGCCCTCTCTGTATATACTGTGTTCTAGACCTTGGGGCCATTCCGCTCTGGTCTGGTTGAGTTTCTATTCTAGATGTGAACACCTGAGGCAGGTGTCCTGGGCCTGTGTCAGGACATGAGGATGACAGTGACACCATGAGGAGGATCAGGATGCTGATGACAACAGAATGACAGCTTCATCCTCGTGGGTGGGGTACAGCATCATTTCCTTAGGAGGCTGCTTCCAGGACCTTCCATAGAAAATAAAGCCCTCTATACAAAGGTGTATTTGCTTACTCTCTACATGCAATCCTGCATACACCAGTCCCTAGTTACTTGTAATCCCTAGTACAATGTAAATGCTACACAAATATCTGCTATGCTGTAAATTAGAGAATAATGACCCAAAAGTCAGACTATGTACAAATAGGACATATTTTTTTCCCAAATATTTTTCAGCCGTGGTTGGCTGAATCTGCAGAGGTGGAGTCTGTGGGTACAGAGAGCTAACTATATATATTCACCACCATGGGCTTTAGAACATTTTCGTCCCTAAAACAGAAGCAATGCATCCTTTTGCCACGACCCATATCTCACTATCCCCCAGTAACCACTAATATTTCCATCTGTATGGATTTGCCTGTTCTGAACATTTCATATATACAGAATCATTCAATCTGTGGTCTCTCATGACTGGCCTATTTCATTGAGCATAAAGTTTTCAAATTCATCCACGTTGTAATGTGAATCACTGCTTCCTTCCTTTTTAATGGCTGAATAATAGTCCATTGTGTGAATGTACTGCATTCTGTTTATTCATCTGTTAAAGGATATTTAATGTCACTAGAATAAGGTCCTTTTCTTTAAAAAATTATTTTTATTTTATGTGTATGAGTAAATTGCCAGCATGTATGTAAGTGTATCCATTTTGTGCAGTGCCCACAGAGATCAGAAGAGGGTGTCAGGCTCCCTGGAACTAGAGTATGGATGGTTGTTAGCCTCCATGTGGGTGCTGGGAATCAAACCCAGGTCCTTTGCAAGAGCAGCCAGTGCTCTTAACCACTGAGCCATCTCTCCAGCCCCTAAAGCAAAGTCCTTTAAAGTCTATTATCTTATTTAGTTCTTTCTCATGTATAGTTAATGTTCAGCAGTATGTGATCTTAGTCTGATCAGAATATCTGAGACTGGGTAATTTATAAAAAATAGATATACCTTCAGTTCACAGATCTGGAGGCTGGGAAGTGCAGGGTTGAAAGGCCTGCATTCAGTGAGAATCTTCTCACTGCATCACCCAATGGTGGAAGCAGGAGGATGAGAGAGTGTCCACTGGTGATAACCAGCCATCTCCTTCAGTAGCACATTAGTCTCTGCCCTCATGGCCTAACCGCCTCTCAAGACTGTTGCGCTGGGGATTGAGTTTCCAACACAAGAGCACATATACCTACGTTCGAGGCAAGAAACAGACCCAGGAGGGTTCAGAAGCATGTGTAGGGCCATAGAGCACAGCATGGGCCGAGCTGGGAAGAGAACCCCACTGCTCTGTTCCTGGAATACACAGAACCCTCAATGCCTCTTACCCCACTCACTGCTTGAAAAGAGAAATCTTTTATACCATAAAATCTCTATATTCTCTTTACAGATTTTCTGAATGGTCTTGCTTCTTCTGTCTTGCCTGATTTTCTGCTGCCTGACCTTTTCCTGGTTCAAAATCTGTGGAAAAATGATGGATTCCAAGCCAGTCACCAACAGTAAGATGGAAGCAAGTGGCACTCCAACTGAGGAGCCTTTTCCAGCCTCACACAGCTCAGAGGAGTCGCTACAAAAACCCAGTGGTGGCAGCTCTCTGCCAAAGACTCCTGACCGAGTGGAGCCAGCCTCCCACAGGGACCACAGAGACGGGTGTCGGCAGAGGGCCTCCCTGCCACCCTCACACCAGAAGCCGCCTAGGAACCCCCAGTCTTCCAATGACACTTGGCCTTCCCCAGAACTCCAAGCCAATGGGACAGAGGTCCAAGACCAGGAGGCCTCAGATACCAATGGCCTGTCCTCCCCAGCCAGACCCCCGGACCAGCAAGCCGCATCCCCCTCCAAAGAGGACAAGAAGCAAGCGCACATCAAGAGGCAGCTGATGACCAACTTCATCCTGGGCTCCTTCGATGACAACTCCTCTGATGAGGATCCTGGTGCTGGCTCATTTAGGGTCTCTTCCCGGAAGGGTAGCCGGGCCAGCCTGGGCACCCTGTCCCTGGAGGCTTCAGTCATAAGTGAATCTGAGTCTCACGAACCCACTATAAGGTAATAAACCCTCTCTCTTCATAATTGGAGCTGGAGGCAGACTTAGAGTGGGACTTGCACCCTTTTTTGGCCCTTCCTTCTTGTCTGTTGACACTTCAGGGTAGCTATATTGAAGAGCAAAAGCCTGACTTCTTTGCTTCCTGTTCCATCCTTTCAAACTCATTGCTTGAGCACCTGCTGTGTAAACAGGGCTTGATTCCAAAGAAGTAGCATTCTAGAGCTCTGAGCTTAGCTGATGAAAATGATCTTGTAGGTAACTGCCATTTAAGCCAAAGAGCCTCAGGTGATCATGGGAGTCTGAAGAGAGAGATAGTTCTCCCTGCCTCCTGGAGAGACAACTGCCCATCCATCCATCCATCCATCCATCCATCCATCCATCCATCCATCCACTTATTCAGCAGTCAACTAATATTCACAGAACCAGCCTTTCCCCACTGATGCCTAAACTGCAGAAATTTAAATACAGTCATCCTTCCAATCATTTTAGTTGTTGGGACCCAAAACCTGTAAAGTCACAACAGGTGCAATGACTCCACAGGTCTAGACGTGTTAACAAGTGTCTGTGTGTGTGTGTGTGTGTGTGTGTGTGTGTGTGTGTGTGTGTGTATGATGGGGGTGAGAAACGGAGTGTTGTGCCCATGTAATGGCACATATGTGGAGGTCAGAGGACAACTTTATGGAGTCAGTTCTTACAGTTTTATATGGTTCTGGGGATGGAGCTCAGTCATTAGGCTTTGTTTTACCCATTGAGCCATCTCACTGGCCTCAACTTTATTTTCTGAGACATGGTCTCTCTGTGAACTTGGAGCTCACTATTTCAACTATACTAGGTAGTCAGCAAGTACTTGGGATTCCCCTATCTCGGTCTCCCTAGCTCTAAGAGTGTGATGCACACCACCATATCTGGCTTTGGAGATCTGAACTCAGGTCCTTGTGCTTGTACAGCAAGCATTTTACCCACTGAGCTCCTCTCTGATCCCCACCCCTTTTTGAGATAGGGTCTCATGCTGCCCAGGCTGGCCTCACTCACTATGTGGCTAAAATTGGCCTTGAACTCCTGATCTTCCTGCCTTCTACCTCTCAGTGGCTTTATAAGCGTGTGAAACCACACCCAACACTGTTTATTGCTGATTGCTTGAAACATGTACCCCAGGCTGGCCTCCAACTCCCTATGTATCTGGGGATATTCTTGAACTTCTGATCTTCTCTCTTCATCTCCTAAGTGGGTATGTACCACCACGCCAATTTATATGGGACTTGGGATTGGACCCAGGGCTTCATGCATAACAGGCAAGCACATCTATGGATTGAATTACATCCTCAGCCTCCCTTCATATTTTTTTCCCCTGAACTTCCTACCTAACAGAAAATGTCCTTGAACTCCTGATCCTCCTGTATCTGCTGCTCAGGTACTGGAATTACAGGCATGGTCATCACACCCAGCCAAGGCTGAATTTAAAATTTTTCATTTTAGTTAATGCAAAATATAGACAGCCTAAAGTAGTTGGTGGTTATTGTCTTAGCATCGATCTAAACATAATGGGCAAGGGAGAGCTAATTGTATGAATTAGTTTACCAAATCACCAGGTTTGTGGAACTAGAGAGATGGTTCAGTGGTTAAGAGCACTGGCTGCTCTTGCAGAGGACCCAGGTTTGATTTCCAGCACCAATATGGCGGCTAACAACTGTCCATAACTCCAGTTCCAGTAGTTTTCAATGCCCTCGTCTGACCGTTGCGGGCATTGCAAGGCATGGGTGCACTTCCATACATGCAGGCAATACATTCATACACATAAAATAAAAATAATAAATAAAATATGCTTTTAAAAAAATGGAAGCAGTAAGATAGATGTGGTGAAGAATGCCTGTATTCCCAGATTTTGGGAAGCGAGACTGAAAGATCAGGAGTTTAAAGCTATCGTGGGCTATGTAGTGATTTCTAGGCTGGCCTAGCTACATAGCAAGATCTTGTCTCAAAAAAGAAACAAAAGACCACAAGTGAGGTGTGGTTGTAAATGCATGTAATCCCAGCATTCAGGAGGCTGAGGCAGGACAGTTGTCATGAGTTTGAGGACAGCCTGAGTGAGTGAGTTCCAGACCAGCCTGGGCTATAGAGCTAGACCCTGTCTCGAAAAAACAAAGTGGAGAAAGGAGAAGGAAAGAAGGAAGAAAGGGAGGAGTAAGGAAAGAAAGAAAGGGGCGAAGGAAAGTCAAAACAGGAAACAAAAAGCAAAGTAGGTTGCTTTCCCTGTACGGTCAAAGTAGGAGGCCACCTGCTGTAGCGTGGAGACCCTGCTGGTTGGTTTGTGTGCATTTCCTGAAGATTGGCCCATTTGCAAACTCAGCTTGATCATGTGGCACTTAGCATAACAGATTCCATTCCAATTTGCTCTGTGCAGCCTGGTGCAGGAGCTCAGGTCAAATCAGCAGCCTCTGCGTATTTTATTTAGCAGCAATGTATGGGAGCAGGCCCACCAGTTGCCTGCCACCAGCTGGAGTACCAAGAAAATGAAGCCTGACACAGGAAGGCAAATGGCGAACAACAGCCCCTGTTAGTAGGATCTAGGATGCTCTCTTTCTTGTTATTATTTTTCCTGATAAACTGTTGTCTTAGTCTGTTTTCTATTACTATGACAAAAGACTTGAGACTGAGTAGTTCAAAAGAACAGAAATTCATTTGATTCTGGGAAGTCCAAGAGCAAGAGCATTGCCCAGCACCTGCCTGGGGCCTGATGAAGGCCTCACACTGCATCCTAATATGATGGAGGCATCATGTGGCAAGACATGGTACTGTACCAGCTCAGGTCTTCATTCTTCTTCTTGTAAAGCCAATGATGCCATCATAGGGGTCACGCCCTCATGACCTCATCTAACCCTACTCACCTCCCTAAAGCCTATCTCCAGAAAGGAACTCAGCATTTGAATTTGGGGAGTAAGTTTCCAGCATGTGAACTTTGGGGGAAACACAATCACACAGCAGCTGCTAGCTAGCCCCCTAACATTTTAGGGGTGTTGAGTTTCTACAAAAGGAAAACAGGACTAGGGGTTGACTGATTCCCTCAGTCTTGTCCCCATTTCCAAAACAGTCAGCAAGGACCTGGCAGAATGCCTGGGATCTGTCCACAACTCTGCCCCTGTGTGGGAACTACCTCAGAGGTGTTTGTGGTTCCCCTTGCCCTTTGTGGTCTCTGAGCAAGCCCTCTGACCTCTGCTGTGCCCTGGAGGGCCACCTCCCAGATACACCAGTTCCTGCCGGGCCATAAGCAGAATGATCAGGCCTGGACAGAAAACCATGCGTTTAAGCTTGTGGCCTGGGTGGAAACTCTTGGAAGCAGTCTTCCCCTCCTGCTCTGTCCTCCCCGTCCCAGAGCTCTCACAGCTGCATCCTCTTTGGGGCGCTGCACTTGTGGCTCCTTCTAGACTATTCTTTTGTTCCCAGCATTGCCAGCTGCTCCCTCAGCAGGACTTGCACTTACACGGACACGAGGGCTTTAACACTCTGCTGCTTGATTCTTTTTGTTTGTTTGGTTTTTTTGGTTTTGGGGGTTTTGTTTTGATTTGTTTTTTGTTTTTGAGACAGGGTCTCTCTGCAACCCCAGATGGCCTGGAACTCACTATGTAGACCAGGCTGGCCTCACAGATCCACCTGCCTCTGCCTCCTGAGTGCTAGGATTAAAGGTGTGAGCCACCACACCTGGGCCTTGGAGATTCCATGGCAACTCTTGCCACCCTCCACCCCCCTTAGCTCTTGGCCATCAAAGTCACTTTCTTCAGGGCCTCCCTGTCCCTGTCCTGTCTTTAAAGTATCCAGAGCCCAATTTCTTTATTGTCCACTCTGTTTCGTTGTCTTTACAACACTCACATTTGTATTTTAGGTCTTTAAAATACAAATCTGCACTGGACGGCAAGCACACTGAAAGTGCAGGGTCTTAGTTTTTCCATACTGCCTAGCCCAGTGCTGCTTGAGGGAAGACTTTGAATGTGTATTTACCAAACGCATGAATGAAATGAGTAACATGTGCTTGCCACAGACAAATTAGCATTCTGGAGGTATGCAAAATACTTGGACCAATGTGGGAATCGACAAATGGATGGATGAGTAGGTAGGTGGAAGGATGAATGAGTGGATGAATGAACTGGGTGAATGAATAGATGGATAGATGGATGGATGGATGGATGGATGGATGGATGATTAAATGGGTGGATGGATGGGTAGGTGGATGGATGGATACTCGATGGAAGGATTGATGATAGATGAGTAGATTAGCTGAATGACTAGATGGATGAATGGATAGATGGGTAGATGGATAGATGGACAGATGAATGAATGGATGGGTCACTAGATGGATGGGTGAATGGGTATCATATTGATTTTTTTTAGCAGTAGTAGAATTTCATTTCTATAAAATTCTTTTTTATATATATCTTGTGACTTGTGGACTAGTCCTGGGGTTAAACTTGAAATTTTCTTCTGACTTTAATATTCACTCTCCTGCTTTCTTCCACTAAGACTCTATGTCCAGTGACTGTGCATTCTATTCTGGTCTCTCCTCCATCTGCCCCTCTGTGGGTTCATCTCAAATCAAGGACTGGGTCTTGCCCATTCCCTGGACTTGGAAACAGTCCTTGAAGGTTACAATTCTCCTGCAACTCAAAGAAACAGAACAAATGAGTACATGGTGTGGCAAAACAATTGCTCACAGACTCTGAAATGCATGTCACAAACGCCTGCTATGCAGTGTGACCCCATCCTGCTGAATGGACATCTGCCTGCTTAGTGCATGGTGGGCCTGGTATAAGATGCCCAGGTTCAAAGCTGCCTCTGACTCTGCCCATGGTGTGGGCTGCATGCTTTGGGTGGGTTGAATGAGATGGGACAAGGTCAGAACTGTGCAGCTACAGTGCTGAATGTGAAGTGATGAAACTAAACTTCTTTGGTTGGTGGTGAGTTTACTTACCAGCAAAACCTGTCCTGAATTGATATGAAGTTATTTTGTGTG